AATGACGTTTTGTTTTTTCGAAAGAAGTGTCAGAGTGCAATAATATACATACCTATGAAAAGAACACGAAAACTATACAACATGCAACATTATTTTCAGAAAATAATACGCTATTATATTTTATCCATCAATCCCTACTCTTGCGTTCCCGTTACCAAAGGGAAAAAAAATTTAGTAGGCACACTCTGACCTATTCACATTGAGGAGCGCTACAATTGAGCTGTACCAGGGAAAAAAGGAGGAGAGAGAAACATATTTTCAAGGAAAAGAAAAGAGAATCAGAGAGACCGCAGAGCGAAGAGCTTGAGATACTGGCAAGCAGATAATCGGCTCGAAATTTTTACTAGAAAATAAAGCAGTTTTCAAACCGAGGCTTAGAGAATAACTCCACAACAAACTTTTCAGCCCTGTGGCTTTCGCCACTGAACGCCTGTAAAGTTTGTTGTTGAGTTTTTGTGAAAGCGAAGATAGCAGTCGTTAAGAATAGACTATAAAGAGAACAGTTCGCAACAAAGAGGCACCAGCTCCTTACCATTGCATATCAGGTCCCATCGACGATTCGGTGAGGAAGACTGAAGTTGGTGTTGGTTGATTTTTCCGACAGGGTGGTAAGATGATTTATTTTGGAACGAATTTCCGTCATCCCTTGTCAATTTTGGTTTGCAGACAAACCGGTTTCGGCGTTGTGCCATCTCAGTGTCATTTTTCGAACGAAAATAAAAAGACTAAAGTTCTTCAGGAATCAACTTGTTGGAACTTATCAGAATGGCTTCAGACCTGATAAATTCACCATTGGTAAAATTTCCACAGAGTGTCAAATCCTAGAAAAGAATTTAGATAAGCTAATCGATACATATGTGCCACCTTTTCGTATATTTTAAAGCGTCTATGTCTATAGGCAACTCTCAGGCTGGCTTTCGCGCGGGATTCTCCTTCACAAACCATGTAAACACTGTGAGGATGATTCTCGGGCAGTGCGCCGATTCAGAGCTGATTTGCATCTGATGTCTGCCGATTTCGAAAATACTTTCGATAGAGAATTCCTTTTGGAAGTCTTGCGTCACAGAGGAGTGCCCGATAAAAATCATCGCTGTTATTAAATCTACGTACGACAAAGGTAGGTTTCATGTCCTTCACAACGGAAAGCTGGAGCTCGACAAGGCCGCATACTCTCTTGCTGATTAAAGATTAGGCTTTTCAAGTACAATGTACCATCCATACTGTTGTACGGATGCTCGGCTTGGAAAGTCACCATTGCAATAACCACGCGCCTACAAGTTTTCGTAAACCGATGTCTTGGCATAATCTCCAAATTTGTCTCAAATGAGGAATTGCTTATAAAAGCTAAGCTGGAGCCTCTTGACATCTGGATCCGTGGACAGACATGGAAGTGGATAGGTGACACCTTGCGCAAATAAGGCGGCTCTATTGCACAGAAGGCTATGGTATGGAACCCTCTAATCGGCAGAGGCAGGCCCGCTAGCAGACCGACGGAAACGTGGTGAAGAACTCGCAATGAATAAACTTCGCAAAAAGGATAAGCGATTGGTGAAGTTTTTTCAGTCTCAGCCTAAGCCAAAAAAAAAAACAGTTGTAGTGCCAAGTAAGAAGAAGAAGAAGTGCTATGTACATTAGGGTGGTCCAAAAAAAGTTAAGTCGGAATTTGTATGCTCTCACCCCCTAGGATTGTTCTATATCAAAAGAAATATACCCCATTACTATTCCGACTTTACTGTTTTTGGACCACCCAAATGTACATACCTACATATGTGTTGGCTATTTTAAAAAAGATTGAGATAAATGTGAAGATTACTTGCAAAATTTTGCTTTGGCTTTAGGTTAGTTCTCTAAAAAGAATTTCAAAAATAGAAAAATAATTACGTATTTATCAATTTTATTGTGGCTTGTTAACATTTTTATTTGAAAATTTTTTTGAGCTTTGTACCACGATTTTCTCCATTAGGGAAAATTTGAAACAGCAACAAAGTCTAAGCGGTAGAAGTAGTCTCTAGTAGTAATTGAATATCAACATTATATGTCTGCTTGGGGTACATTCATCATCTAGCTTAGTACTAGCAGATAGTTGATATTCAATTATATTATTATAGAAATAATTTGAAAGTAGTTGCATTTATTACACTCGCTGTTTATTTCTATTCATAAATATCTATGAATGTGGAATTTTCTGTTCAGTTATTCACGCATTTGTTACGTTATCTGCATTACATCTAGATGTATGTACATATATCTGTATGTACATTAGGATGTTCTTTATTTATCAGGTTGGATTCTGACAGAGTGCATCTATTGCCCCTGTATCTAATACCGATATCGAAGGCAGGGTGATACAGTTTCAAACAAAAATAGAATGGTTATGACAGAGACAAGATCTTATCGTATAGAAATATGGAGAATCTATGATCTCAGCTGCCTTTAACCATTTGCCCCAAAGATTATACAAGGTAATTGTTTTAGACAAGAAATTCAAAACAGAGCTTTGCACCAAGGTGACCTGGAGCAACTCCATTATGGAGGCATACATACAGCGCCAGCAACATTTAGTGGTACACTGCTGACTCCAAAACATCAGAAGGCATTAGGCAGGCATTTATGGTTCCAGTATGAGGCTATGTATCTGTGCTCATGGGCAAGTACCTGAGCATCTTCCTAGCGGAAGTATACGCCATCAATCGGTGTGCAGAGATTAGCTTACGTAGAGATTACCGTCATGAGAGTATCCCAATCCTTTAATCTAAAAAGATACAAACACCTAATCAACCATCAGATGCAGAAGTGCACGGGAACGCAAAAAGCACTATTTCCTGTAAAAACGTCACTCGGTTTGTTTACGTGCCATTGGTACAACACTGATTTGGCTGAAATATTACTAAATAATTATCTTTACAGATAGTACTATTATCTCACATCCGGAACAAAAAGCAAATCATCTAGCAATAGTAGCTCTGATCCAGTACTCCATGAACTTACAGGATTTTACACGAACTTGCAGGAAGTTGCAGGAAAAATGTTCCCGTACTCCGAAATCCTCCAAAATCCTGTAAATGAGAGCGACTTTTGGAGAGTTGTGTAGAGAATGAAGTTGCAAGATTTTTCCCCGAACTTTTTCTTCTGGTAAAATCAAGAAAAGTGTCAAGCAATTACTGGTTGACGTTTTTACAGGAAAAATGGTCTTTTTGTTCCCGTACTTTTTGTTGTTACTCACTTTTTACTCTCACTTCAGAGAGTAATTTTGCCGTTTGACAGTTTTACAGGATTTTTCACGAAAAGTATTGGATAAGAGCTAGTATGGAGCACATTGGGATCAAATGACAAACTCGACAGATGCAGTTATACAAAAAAAAATTGAGCATGAACGTTGACAATTTGGAAAGCATTGCAAATAATTTGATCTGTACTCTAGAAGCAGTAACACTCGCGGAATTACATCTAGCGTTCGAAAATGCAGTAGCTGAATTATACCGCTGAAAGCCTGAAAAGCGCGAAACGCCTGAAGAGCTTGTTGTGGAGTTGTACTCTTGATGTTCAAATTCAAATCAAATCAACTTCAAATTTAAATCAACTTGGTAAATAGCTGATACACACCCTAATATACATGCATACTTACGTGCTACGTATTTATGGATGCCTTATGACAATAATACAACGTACAATTTGTATTAGGAAAATGATGGCGATTAATCATTATAAAATTACTTTATACTAAATAATTGATTGAATTAATTACAAATACGAAATAGTACTAAGTCCCAACACATAACTAGCAAATCTAATTTCGTCGTCAGCATTTATTGAGCATTAATTGCTTATTTGCTACTAATTGTGCGAGAGAGTTTAATTCAATAATAATTTGAATAAGCGTGACGAATGAAATGCAAATTAAATTTGATTTTTTTTTTTTTGAATTTTTTTCTTCAACACAAAGTTCCATGTAAGACCATTTGACTTATAGCGCCGTCAGAATGGGGACTTGTTCGTCAATACCGGAAAAGTATGCGAAGGAAGAGGCATACGTAACATAGAGACAAAATTACAACAAACACAACATTTTGACAAAAGTACAAATTCGCTGTGAAAACAGCGGATCATAACACCAGCCAAGGCGAATTTATACAATTTATACAACACACTAGAGATGGGCACGGGCCGGGCTTTTGGCAGGGGCCCGCAATACAAAATACATGTGATTGCTGTTGTTGTAATCTAAATTTGCCAGCGACACCACGTTGCATAAATTCGCCTTGGTCAAAATGGTGCGTTTGTTGTAATATGAATTCGCCTTGTTTACAACGAACACATCATTTTGACCAAGGCGAACTTATACAAGATGCTGTTGATGGCGAATTTAGATTTCGCCGCGGTACTAATTAATGTCAAAATGATGTGTTTGTTGTAAACCAGGCGAATTCATATTACAACAAACACATCATTTTGACATTAGGGAGTACCGCGGCGAAAATCTAAATTCACCAACAACACCACCTTGTATAAATTCGCCTTGATTTTGACATTCAGAAGGACCAAGGCAAATGAGTGAATTGTTGTAATAGGGTATTGATCAACTACATACTACAAAACGAGTAATAAAATAAAAAATTAATATTTATGTTCATCTGTGTATGTCGTTTTAATAAAAAGGTAGGCGTTATTTTACCATTTCAATTTCAGTATTTCAATGATATATTTGAAACCCATCGGAGAATCCCATTGGACTTCAAGTTGAGAACTAGCATTTTCTCAACTTGAGAAACAGTCCTATTTGCATACAAAGAAAAATGCCCTTTTTGTTGAGAACGCCATCATCCTCCACTTGAGGTACTGTTAAGAAACAACGTTGGAGATTTAAAAAATACCTTAGTTCTCAACTCAACCTCAAGCTGAGCTTAAACATAAATGTTTGTTGGGAATGCTCTGTATTCGTGAATTGACGATCCTTCAACTCATTAAACACAGCGTTTGAAATTTTATGAACCACACAGTTGGCAACGCGATCTCAACTGTCAGTTCAGTTTTCCACCGAGTAGACAGCCCAAAGGTATAAAGAATTGTGCGAAAACTGTATTTTATATGCTGCAAATTGAACAAAGGTGCTAAATAAAGCTGGAAAAACAATAAGCAGCCTTTATATTAATGAAATTTAAATTAAATTCTTAGCTAGTGTTGTGTCGCGATTGTCTTTGCCATTATGGAAGCTCTCATTCCGGTTATAAATAAATTGCAAGATGTCTTCAACACTGTTGGCTCGGATTCCATACAATTGCCACAGATTGTAGTACTTGGGAGTCAGGTAAGCGCGAAAATTATTTGGTACTATGTAATGCTACCGCAGAAGCTAGCTAGCTATACTACTATATTAAACTACATATATACATATAAATAACTATCTGATAAAATCGAACATAAGTGGTATATAATCTCGTTACTTAGCATGTGCCAATCAAAGAGGCATTCTTGTGCTAATATGCAATTCATGGTTATGATGTCGATCATACTTCTTCGAGGACATGTTTAAACTCCTCTTATATAATGGCGAAAGCTGTAGCCGGTATCTTGGAAACGACAATTTCGTGGAATTATTTGTATACTTCAAAATGTTAATAGGATGTTTATGTAACCCATTAACAGTCCAAAGACATTTAAGGTAAAAAAAATCAATACTGTATGTGGCGGCTAGACATTTTGTTGCAATGACGGCAGTGCACAGCTGCTTCGCTGACACATTCTGCGACACGTATGTACACACACCAACTAACAAAATTATGTACATATGTACGAGAACACGAGACTTGCGGAATGGAATGCATTGCACAGCTCTGATTGAAAAGCAGTTAAATATTTTACTTCAATAAAAATGTTTCCTTTGTTTACTGTACGCTGCTAATCATATTAGTTTATGGTGTTTAGTGGCCGATTGCCAATTATGCATATGTAGTGGCAAACGAGAACATTGCGTGGAATGTTGTAAAATTACTTTAAATGTGGAAGTTTTAAGGTTGAATGGATTGAAGTGGGAGGAAAAAACTAGTCGTAAAACTTAAAATTCATAGACCTTTATAATTTCGTTTAATGTCACCCGCGTTACCTACTCGCTACTACAAAATTAAAGTAATCTTATACCCAGCCATGAAGTCCCAGATGAAGAATCAAATTAGTTCAAAAGGCAATTTAAAGACAAGGTAGTAGTCCAATAAAATTTGTGTGTTATTTTAAAACTCCCAAAGAGGACCGAACCTAGTACAAACCTTCTAATTCAGTAGTAAACTTAAGACAACTAATAATATTTCTTTATTTGCGTAGAGTTCCGGCAAGAGTTCGGTCATTGAAAGTTTAGTAGGCCGCTCCTTTTTACCACGCGGTACTGGTATTGTGACACGTCGTCCGTTAATTTTGCAGCTTATTCATTGTCCATTAGACGATAGGGAGCACCGATCAGCGGAAAATGGTAAGGTATATATTTTTCCTTCTATTGAAATTAGTTAACATAACTCTCATTTATTTTTCAGGCACAGTCAACGTTGATGAGTGGGGCAAATTTTTGCATACTAAAAAGATATTTACGGATTTTAATCAGATTCGAAATGAAATCGAGGAAGAGACAGATCGTGCTGCCGGCTCCAATAAAGGCATTTGCCCAGAACCTATCAACTTGAAAATATACTCAACACGCGTTGTAAATCTAACGCTGGTTGATTTGCCAGGTATCACCAAAGTGCCCGTTGGTGATCAACCGGAAGATATTGAAGCACAAATTAAAGAATTGGTTTTGAAATACATCGATAATCCCAATTCCATAATTTTGGCCGTAACCGCAGCCAACACTGATATGGCAACAAGTGAAGCCTTAAAATTGGCTAAAAAATGTGACCCTGATGGTCGACGCACCTTGGCTGTGGTAACAAAACTCGATCTCATGGATGCGGGTACTGATGCCATTGATATATTGTGTGGTCGTGTGATACCGGTGAAACTGGGTATTATTGGTGTCGTAAATCGCTCGCAACAAGACATTATTGATAAGAAGCAAATTGACGACCAACTCAAGGATGAAGCTGCATTCTTGCAAAGAAAATATCCTACACTAGCAACGCGCAATGGCACTCCGTACTTGGCAAAGACGTTAAACCGCTTACTCATGCACCACATACGCGATTGCTTACCAGATTTAAAAGTACGTACACATATACTTTCCACTTGAATTTAAATATTCAACTTTTCAAAATATTTTCTACTTTAGACACGAGTCAACGTAATGTCATCACAATTCCAATCATTACTTCACTCATATGGCGAAGACGTGTCGGACAAGAGCCAAACGCTGTTGCAAATCATAACTAAATTTGCTAGTGCATACTGCTCCACAATCGAGGGTACAGCACGAAACATCGAAACAACAGAATTATGTGGCGGTGCACGCATTTGCTATATATTCCATGAGACATTCGGTCGCACTCTCGATTCCATACACCCGCTGTCTGGTTTGAGTAAAATGGATATATTGACGGCTATACGCAATGCGACTGGACCGCGGCCTGCGCTCTTTGTGCCGGAAGTATCGTTTGAATTGTTGGTAAAACGTCAAATACGGCGCTTGGAGGAACCTTCCCTGCGTTGTGTAGAGTTGATACACGAGGAAATGCAGCGCATAGTGCAACATTGTGGTAATGAAGTGCAACAGGAAATGTTACGGTAAATATTCAGAACTATAAAATACGTTTATTGGAATCTAACATGTTTACTATTACGTCGACAGCTTCCCGAAGTTACATGAAAAAATTGTTGACGTTGTTACCCAGCTCCTGCGTCGACGCTTACCAGCCACAAATGTTATGGTAGAACATTTGGTGGCTATTGAGTTGGCATATATAAACACCAAACATCCAGACTTTCATAAGGATGCCGCGCTTGTACCCAGCTTACTGAAAGCGGATCATATTATTGAACCATTCAACAATTTGAGTGCACAATTGCAAAGACGCACGAATACTCCGCGTAATTCTAACTCATCGCCTCAGGTGTCAGCAACACAGCAGCAACAACAACAACAGCAGCAGCAACAGCAACAACAGCAACATCAGCAACAACAACTTCAAAATGATACTCAAGAACAAGTAAATTTTGTGTGAAACTTATTAAATGTAGCTATCATTTCTCTTTCCCCAATTTTTAGAACCATATTGGTGAGAATGCTGTCGGCCACAGCTGGCTAGCAACTATTTTGCCTCCAGCACCATCGACATCGCCAGCCACACGTGCTCTGGAAAGTCAGGATAACTCTGCAAGCAATACACCATTACATAATAATATTCAAAGCCCAATCAAACCGGTTAACTTGTTGCCCGATATGCCGGCCCATCATGGTTCAAGACGTTTAACTGATAAGGAACAAAATGATTGTGATGTTATTGGTGAGTGTAGCTGTAATATTGTCGATTGTTAAATCCATTTTCAAATGCACCAAATATAGCAACTGCCGGTATGCAGTTGAAGGGTGCTTAGATATTTTTCTTTATATGTGCTTACATATATTCTTATGTCAGATAATGTCTTCGATGTACATAAGAGGCCGTGAGCCAGAGGAGCATATCCATAAAAAAAAACTTTGAGTAATCGAGAAAGGAGGACTTATAAATAATAAATTCGGCCTTTTACTGATAATTTCATTGCACCTGCGTGATTCTACCTATTATAGTAAACGAAAACTAAAAGGGCGTGCCTCGGTCTATTACCATTTCAATTCAAGCAATGCATTTTAAGTTGTCCTATTTTTTTTTTTTTTTTTGAAATGTCAGACAACTCTAGCTCTCAAGTCCTCTTATATACATATATATATATATGTAATTATTAATTTCCAAACCTGTCGTTTTCATCTTAATTTTTGTTTTCTTTTTAGAACGCTTAATTAAGTCATATTTCTACATTGTGCGCAAATCCATACAGGATTCTGTACCAAAAGCTATAATGCATTTCCTAGTTAATTACGTTAAAGATAACTTGCAGAGTGAGCTAGTCACACATTTGTACAAGTCGGAAAAGGCCGAAACTTTACTCGATGAATCGGATCACATTGCAGTACGACGAAAAGAGGCGGCTGATATGTTAAAGGTGAGTCCGTTCAATGTGTTATGAATTTTAATAATTTAAACATCCATTCATTCATTCCAGGCGCTCACCAGGGCAAATCATATAATAAGTGAAATCCGCGAAACGCACATGTGGTAAAGATGATAAATGCGAATTTTTGTGGTATAAAACGTATTTAAAATACAAGTCTTCGTTGGTGCGCTTCTTCATCTATTATTTGTATTGTTCATAATACATTCATAATACATATATTCGCATATTCATTGTCGAGTTTAATGTTTAATTTTCTTTTCCAGTTTTTACAATGCAAAAAAAAGAGAAACACCAGTATGAAAAAATTTCAATAATAAAATATATTTGAACTATTCTTGCAACGTCTAAGTTGTTAAATTTACGAAATTGTACTCTTATGTTAGATCTGTCAATCGATTTTGTAACCGAAGAGACTTGAGAAAGTAAATGGGAATGTTTTTAAAAACTCCACTTAATGCACAGTTGAGAGTAATTGAATATTAAATGATAAACACAGCATACATTTTGCATTTAATGTATTTCGGTTATCAAAAATATATTAAATAATTTAGCATCAAAATTTTCCTTTTGATTTAAATGAAATGATCTATAAATTATTGCATGTTACCAGTCGAAAGTTATTTTTTATGCTGTGAATGATTAAATATGTATCAATATTTGTTCGTTGCGTTTCTTGTTGTATAGGATTAATTGTCTGAAAAAATAGTATTGTTAAAAATTTTTTCATACAATATTTCATTTGGCACTTATAAGCAAATGCATCTAGCGAATTCAGTTTTTAGAGCAAAATAATGCAACTACTTATGCGCTATTATATACTTGTATAACAGTGAATATAAAATAACATGATTTCGCGTTGAAAAAAATAAAAATGAAAACGGAAACTAATTTGAGTTTTTATTGCCAAAATAGATGAAAAGTAGGCTATTCGGAACGTGGTTCACCTGAATTCCGGCAGTTCTGTAAACAAACAAAAAAAACATAGCTGCTGAAGTGACGGTTGTTGTTGTAACAGCATACAAACTCCCCAAAGACTTTTGGGGAGTGTTGCTGGAGTGACAGTCCTTGGCCAGATATAAATCTGGGTCGTTCCGGTTACGTAGACCCGACTGTCGTGGGAACGTGAAGTGACGGTCCTTTGCGGCAGCGTAGACTAGTTTATCGTGGAAACTAGAAACTTGCAATTTTTTTAATGCTTAATTTGCATTGACAGAAAAGAAAGTAAAGACCTTTTCTCTTCAAGTGATAAGGAAGTAAGACAAGTGAATTCATTTCACATACATACCTTCATAGCTGTACATACGTCAGACGTAAGGTAAATTACCCAACAAAGCAAAAGTCATTCAACAGCTGCATATTTATGAAGTGACAAATGAACACTTTAATACTTTAATTTAAAAAAAAGTAAACATGAATAATTTCTTTCTTTTTTTTGAATCGAAGTGTAGCGTTACATATTTATGTATATAAAAAAAGAACATGATAAACATATTGACTATGACAGGCTCAGACAGACCGCTTTCCATCTCATGCAATACGCCCTGCACTTTAACAATTGCAACTAAATACGTCAGGAATTGCGACAGTTTTATCGATTACCAACATACTAGTAGGTAGTACATATATATGTATTGAAGTTTTAACTAATTATTCATCTCAGTACTGCTATGGAAGTATTGGGTTTAATAGCTCAAATATTTGTTGTTTGCTCTTCTCGTTTGCCCAGATATATGTATGTACTAGTGTATGTTGTTTAACGGTATTGAAACTTATGCTCGATTTGTATCGGAAAGCACCCGCACAATACAGCCTACGCCACCTTTGGCAAATGCTTTTTCATGCCACTGCAACAAATGCCCGCTGGAACCTTCAGATGGTATCTCGAAGCCGCGATAAATGTACTTCATTAACACATCTAATAAATCGTTTTGCTCGAGTGCTTCCACAGCCTGATCCATTTGTGATGATTTGATAGAGAGCAAGACGCGTAGCGTTATATTCAATGCATTGTCCTGCATAGTAACGGGTAAGAATATAAGATTATCTATTTCTTTTATTTATGTACATATACACACATGCATGTCCATGTGTTAAGATGCATACCTTTACTACCTGATGTTTGCAGCGTAAGGGTGCATTCTGTAAAACATTGACCAAAGCTTCAACTGACTTGCCCTGTGTGAGAAGTGTTGTTATTTCGTTCTCATCTGGGCCTACGGTCGCTGATATGGCATCCGCTTCATCCTCCTTAAAGTTGTCCTCATTGTATTGATCCACATCGATTTTGCGGAAAGCTGAACTAGAGGTATTTTTCGCCATATCTTCCTTTGTCAGTCGAAAAAGAATAATCTTAAATAGGTATTGAAAAATTCAGGAATTCCTAGGCACAATCCAAAAAAGTGCAAAAAATGATTCACTCAAAGAACACGGCCAAGGAAAAACGCTTATCAAAATTGTCAAACTTTGACATTTGTTAACTAAAATCAAAAGCCAACAGAGGTGTATTTAGTGTCAAATTTATTTATTGTTTACATTTTTTAATTTGATTCATGATTGAATCAAAAACTATACTTTGCAATGAAACAATGAGTTATGAACCAAATAGTATAGATCTGCTTACTGATATTTTCTATATCTAATTTTTAAAAATTTGTAAGTAATGGAAAGTGAAGAAATATATATCGGTATCGCACAATAGTACCTACACCTGTACGGCGGTACAAACTAATCGGTGTCTTGTTATCGATAGTTTTCATTTTCTTTTTATTTAGTTTGTCAGAAAATCAGCTGTTTTTGACTTTGTATCGTTTGCTGAGGTATGGACAGAATTTTCTGAAAATTTTTTATTGCAAATTTAAGACAATTGGATTTTCTTAGGTAGCGATGGCGAAGTATTTGGGCCTCGACCGACTCGGTAAAATTTTTCAAATTATCCGCCAAGCAGGTGGGATAAAAAAGGCTTATATGAAGCTGTACAGGTCAGTAAATTTTGATTACAACTTTCCTGCTTATATAAGCGCAATCCAAATGCTTCTAATAACACATAATAATTCAGATACGATGATCTAAAAATTGGAACACTGGTGGGCACAGACAAGTATGGTAATAGATATTATGAAAATCCTTATTACTTTTATGGCCGCAACCGCTGGGTGGAATATGCGGATCATTTAAATTTGGATTATGATGGCTCACAAATACCTGCCGATTGGTATGGTTGGATGCATTACAAGGTATACAGATTAAGTATTTAAATGTAATATTAGCTACTATTCAATGACATAATTCAATTTTAGACCGATTTACCGCCAATTCGTGATGGTAGCCGCCCCAAGTACAAGTGGATGGCTGATCACAGTGAAAACCTGTCTGGCACCAAAGGTAAGGACAATGAAAGTTAAAAATATGTTGGCCACTGTGTCCCTATGGCTTAACCACAAGGCAGAGTAAAAACAATTATAAAAAATATAAAATTAACCAAACAACAACAGCTAATTAATTGCTTCATATACATAGTATAGTAGCAGTGAAGCAATTGCGTTCCCACGACAGTCGGCTCTACGTAACCGGAACGACCCAGATTTATATTTGGCCAAGGGCTGTCACTTCCGCAACACTCCCCAAAAACTCTTTGGGGAACTTGTATGCCGCTACAACAACAACAAAGCTTATTAATTGTTAAATAGTAAGTGTCGCTGAATCCATCGTAGTCCGATTTTTGTGCAGTCTACGAAAATGCGATAACTGAATCCGAATTGCTGGGAATATATGCATTCAAAGCTACGTTCAATGTTATTCGGACTCGATGTCAGAATTTTCGTAGATTGCACGAAATAACGGACTAGATTCAGTGATGGTCCTGAGTATGCGTCTACATATATGCAATCTTTGGATGCTACATCTAATTGCAATATATTATTTCCCAACTTTGCACTTTTAAACCAGTAAATGACAAAAGCCTTTTGGTTAATAGTGATTTATTTAAATTAAATAAGCCTTTTTATACATATATGTATATGTATATATCGCACACGATCTTTAAAAGTGACACAACTCAAAATTTGGCATTTTTGAAATTAAGTATGCACTAAAAATGTACGCAGACCTCTTATTTACCTTTCAGCAAAAGCTGGAGTACATTTTTGTTATAATTTCTTCCTTGCCCATATGATTAGCATCTATTAAGAAATAGTTGTTCGCATTTACTGACGAACGTGTTATTTTGAGCTGCGTCGGTTCGGCTCATAGTACAACACTAAAGCTTGAATGTTAGCAATAACTTAAATACTATTAACGCTTATTAATAACTCTTATTAGTTTCGTTACACTTATCCAACCTTTATTGGTTTTGTTTTTCTTATTGTAGAGCAATATATGCCATACTCAACAACGCCGCCCAAAATCGAGGCTTGGGATCCAAAAAAATTGAAATAAGTAACCTTTTGAATAAAACTGTACAACAAATAAATGATCGTTAAATAAATAGTAAATAACTAAATGCTATTGTAGCTATTTTCCGAAGTAAAACTATAGAATTAAACTTAAAAAGGCGTTTTAGGAGCAGGTAAGAATTTTTTTGTTTTATTTATAGTTTTTATTGCTACTACAATTTGTTTACTATCTGTATTAGATTCAATGAGACCTCTGCATGAAAAGTGAAGTTTAAGATCCAACTCTATTGAAAACAAAAACAAAAATATTATTATTAATTGAAGGGCATATACAACTATGAAGGCTGTGTTATGATTATTACAATTTAAAATTATGCACTATAAATTAAAGTATGAATATGTTTATGTTGGCAAGTACTTATCGTGTAAGTAAAACAATATTTTCGTCAACTTAGGATAAATGTACATAATTTAAAACTCAATACCATGGCTTAATCTATATTTCATGAATTTAACATGGGTATCATGACACTTCTTGGCGATGGCTTTGTGTATTTCTTCAGACGTGGCTTTAGTGTTAGCTTTTATGCAGTATTCAATATCAGAAACCTTATAAGGATCCAATATTGTATCTGAAAAATTTGTCATCAATATTGTATTGCGATCAAATACCAGTGCACATAGCATGCGCGCCGCGCCTTGTGGCGTATTCCAGCGAATTTTAGAGTACCTCGTTTCCGGAACCTCAGTACCATGAGGACCGAGCACCACTATTGGTGGGTCTTGATCGACCCGCATTGGATACTCCACAAATTGGGTCGACGTCGTTTTGGCATAACACGCTCGTTTCACTGACAACATAAAGTCTTTTGGACTCTTTATGAGTTCATCACCGAGTTTTGTCACAACTGTGGATAGCTCTTTATAAAGTTTTATGCTTTGCTTATGCTTTTGCATCATTTGTTTTATTGTGTCTGGCTCATACTCTGTAACGCATTCACAATTGCTACAGAAATATTGCTTTATCTGGTCGGTCACTTTACCGCACATATCCTTAAGTGTCGCTTCATTAAATGTATCTTGATTTGTTTTCGGCTTACCAGCTTTTTCATTAGTTATTGCCATAGATTTTGTTATTGAATTATTTTTGTCATAAACAGGTGCTACGTCAGCGTTTAGGACGTTGAATAGGACTTCGCAAACAAATTCAAACTTTTCACCTTTGGATGCGATAAAATGTTTCCCAATTAATTTATTCAGTCTTATTAACGCCTTTATTGGTTCTTTCAGTCCTTTTGTTGGCAAAGCGCAGTTGGAAGTCTTCGATGTACTGGCCATTATGGCTAGTTTAAATCATATACACATGCTACACACGCATGTAAATAGATGCACATGTATGTACATATCTACATATTTATTAATTTGTTTAAATAGGAAAGAAAATAGAAGACTGCCCAACTTTGAGATTTATTTGCACATCTCAAAATAACATCACGACCATACTTCATTTATGTTTGTACCAAAAGTTATATCTTTATACATCTAAACTAAGAAAAATAAACTAGCCAATTATTGATGTTATAACTGTATTAAAATACATAACAAGTTTTCTAACGTGCATCATTGTACATTACATATGAATGCTTCATTTGCCAAATTGATTAACTCCATTAACAAAAAGTTTAGAGATGCGATCAAGTAATATAATTTTTTTTTTTAATTCCCTTTATAGTATTAATTGGAAAAATAATGTTATATATAATATAATATATAATATTATAAAATTATGTCTTAAATAAAGTTACATAATAAAGTTAAATAAAGTTAATAAAGTAACATTGACAAATATAAAGTTATCATAAATACAATAAAATATTAGTTTACCAAGTGATTTGACACTTAAATTGAAGATTTTTCAAAAAGTTGAGTTAATTGATTTGGCAACTGAGGCGTTCATACTATGTTATTGAAAAACCTTTTTTTAAATATTCGACTTATTGGCTCTCGAATGAAAAAATCTTTACTTGTTTTTAAAAATGTTTAGCATAAACTAAAGTTTCCAAATTTGTCCTTATTGAACACAATTGAAAGTTTTTCGATTCAACATAACTAAATTGTAATTGCTCTTTACATCGAAGTATTGAAATTTGTACAAGCCAAGTTTTTTCTGAGCAACATTTCAAGAATTTAAAGCCTCTAGAAATCCCTACGTTAAATTTCTATCTCCAAAAATCGCCAAATGAACAACAGGCAGAGTCCGACCGAACGTTCGGCTTCGGTTTCGGCAATATTTTCATATTCGGTTGAATTCTTAATTTTTAAGTAAATCAACGGCTTCGGTAGTCGGCCGATGTTAGAACAAACCCGAACGTTCGGTTCGGTTTCGGCCGAAAAATATACCTAATAAGAGATATGCCGAACGAAATTCCGACGCTAAATTTCAATTGGCCAAAAATCTCTAAACCTGCGGTTCCCAAACTTCTTTTCTCACGTACTGACTATGAAAAAAGTTGAAAAACGAAAAATTAAAAAATTTAACACGAAAACTTGTGTAAGAATAGTGGGTCATGCAACGATTTCTACTGGTTTTCACACTGACAGCTATTTCTCGCCCAAGGCGCAATAAACAGATGAAATAATAAAACAGCTTTCTTGCTTTATTTTTTGACATTTTCTGCCTTATAGTCAAATTTTAAAGGTAAATATTCAATTAAGGCAGTGCCAAAATCTTTCTTCTCACTCTAATTACTTCACCTGTTATAATTCCACCATGTTTCCCGCGCAAACAAAAATTACACAGAATTCACCTTTGAGTAGGATGGGTCTCATTAACTTGGTCAACCACAAAGATATAATTTTTAAACATTACTACTTACTATAACTTCGTTTCGAATCTTCTGAATTTGTAATTGGCCACCAAAATGGATTTTGGAATGAAAAAATAGTACGAGTGTGTACATTAGAGTGGTGCAAAAAAAAAATTTCTTTTCCTCATGCGTACACACGTTGTCAAAAGCGAAAATGAAGAAAATTGCAGTAAAAAGCCACCAGCAAATTGTAAACCACGAACAAATATAAACAAACGGCTAATGTGAACATCGTCCTACATTTTTCCTAGCTGCGATTACAAATGGCGACTTTTCTTCTTGCGGGATGTTGTATATTTAGTTCATGTATAAAATTAATGCTGACAACCCCAATAAGTATCATCCAGATCGTTCCTACTATTGGCGTTGATCCTCGTGACGAATGAGAGTCCAAAGGGAGTATTCTGGAAAAATTTGCAGTACTGTAACCCATTATATTTTAGTACAATAAAGTACAAGTTTGAAGTAGTTTGGCAATTTTTTGTTAACGACAATTTTATTGTATGGAGAAAATGAGCAACACCTTCCACAAAAAATCAAAGGTAAGTTCTAACTATTTTATTTGCACCTCGTTATAATAAAACTGCTAAGAAATCTAATTAAAAAGCTCACCTTTTTGAATTTTGCTAATTTTTATACAATTTTGGCTTAAAGCTTTGTATTAGATAAAGAGCTACACTTTCATACAAAGTAAAAAACATTAAATAAATGAAAGGGAAATAGCCAAAGAATGCTAAAATGTCTCTTCCGTATCATGATTCAACAACTACAGGTTGTATCAATCGTACAAAAACAACATTTACCGTTGGTATGAACTCCTTGTGTCATCACCATCTTTTTTATCTACTCATATTCGTGTGTATATGTATACCCTGCATACCAGGATTTCATAGAATTCTGAAAGGTTTCACAATTTTTTTAAGAATTTTCTTTAAGAAATCGTACAGAAATTTCTTTACTAGTTCTTATCAACCGCCTCATATGTTTTTCTTTACAGATTTCTAAAAGAATCGTAACAAATTTCCGACACTCTTAAAGATTTCGGGAGCATTTGTTTGCAGGGTATATATATACGTATATGTGTATGTGTACGCGGATATGTAAATATAGCAAAACAGACGATAATTTGACACAAGCGTGCTCATAAGAAGAAGCATAGCTTCTATCGCTATCACCTGTAATTGATGCGCCTTGCTTCCGTATTTATATTTTCGCAACTGTACATATCATGTATGCATGTACATACATATACGTATACATACATATATATATATACATCTATTAACAAAGTATATACATACTACACACATAAATATATAGGCATCTACAAGCATATGTTGCAAATAGGGTAAAAATATTGCGCCAACTGGAATCGACGTGTAGAGAAAAAAGTTGATAGGGGATGCTTTTTGTTATTAGATAGAGTCTAATAATTAGACCATTAAAAGCCATTGGTATTTACATTTTATCAAGCATTTATTTATAATTATACAATTTAAGTATTGAGAATTATTTTACTACCATTTAAAGAAATGATTTGATGCATATATCGGCAAAAATGTTATCGGTATAATCTGGCATCATTGCAATCCTCTATGAAATCAACCGCTTTTTTGTTTTTCCATTTTTCTTTTGAAACCAACAACTTTCAGCTAGCAAGATCTTTTCGCATATACGTGTATATATATTTACACATGTGCGCGCGCGCAAACCGCTTTCAAAATAAAATCTGTGTTATTTCTTTGCTTTGAGTAGATAAAACTATTCCGTATTTCAAAGAAGCCTTGTATAGTGTTACATATCTAGCAACCGGCAGCAAAAAAAAAAAACTTACATTGCCGCTGGTTAGATCGAAGTGGATTGGTACGATATGCCATTTTTCCATCTACCTGAATTTGTGTTGAGAAGGGACCATTCATTCGAAGCAGAATAGAAAAGTAATTTCCTTCCTGGTACTAATACATACATATATTATCACTAGGCCAAAATCCTTAGGCATTGGACCTAGAATGTTATGTTGTAGTGGAGTGAATGCAGCTCTTAATGTGCAGGTAGGATATGGTATTTCTAAGGATGTGTACATTTGTGTGAGTTCGGAATGAGAGAAACTAATGCATTCACATTGAATATACATATATGTATGTACCTCCATAATCCATTATACCCAAGGCAGAATTCTACCTACCCTTATTTCAGGATACAAGATGAATTCTTAAAATACCAACCAACCCTCTGTACAAGGACCATTTAAGTCAGTACGTTCTAGTAAGTCCTGCAGAGCGCATTTAACGCAGAATCTTCTAAAGTGTAAACTTTTATATTATTAAACTTCCTCTAAAAATGGATAATAAAGTAAGTTTATTAAAATATTTTCTTAAAAAATGTATTTAGGTATATTTTGCATTATCTTTACTTCAATATGTATAAGGATATGTAAAAAATAGCAGGTACTTCCAATAGAAAATATATGTTAAGAATAGGAATAGAGCAACATTTAATTGACTATGTACATATATTCAATACCTTATTATCCTGTTCCCCTTCAACAGCACAACCGACCTGATGATCGGCGGGTAATATGTGCAACAAACTACAATCAAGCTCAACAGAAAATTATTCGTGCGTCTGTAGTAAATTTTTCACGTGCAGTTGAGGCGGGCGAAATGCAATATTACAACGAACGCCCCATGATGCTTGACACATGGACGCAAACTTCAAACGCCGATCTTGGTATTGGCGAGGACTACCTGCATAATGCATACATAGAAGAGCAAAGACAAAGAGAGAAAGCATTGTTGGAAAAGATACGCATCCTTAAGGCAGAACTGCGGGCGCATTCAGAGATGTTAACACAAATGCAATCCCTACATGCACGCGGTAGTTCACAAATACAAAACCAACACAATCGACAACAACAACAGCAAAGTTTAGTGGCTAACCCGCTAGAAATGCGGCTGCAGGACCATAACAACCGTGAACAAAGACAAAAACACGAAGAAAGTACATCGCCAAAAATGCAGTTATATCACAGACCTTCTAGCTCAAGAAGTACACAGCAATGCGAGGAAGTTACGTCCATGTCGAACGTACTTCATGAGCGTCCAGAACAAAAGCAATTAGCCCAAAATACACACTCACAGTATATAGCACAAGAAGTGAATGAAGGTGCGGAGTCGACGATGCAACAAAATGCATCTATTTCACATAACGCACCAAGTACTATCATTAATAATGCACATGAGGTACGAACTCGCAATGTAAATTACACAATAGTCGCTGATGGCGATGGCAATGGTCCTGACGAGCCCATAGAGATTGAAATTGCGGAAGAAAGTGCACACAACTTAAATTGTTCTGCTGATTCCGAACGCTTAGAGATATGTTTAGCAGAAGAACAGCAACCCGAAGCAAGTGTTAGTTATGTTAAGTACGAGGTGGGTACTGAACAAATTCAACACAAAAATCACATTTCTTCTTCAGTAAGTCCAGTCGGTGCAAAACGAGTTAAAATGTCTACAGAAAATCTCACACAAATATATGAAGTGCGGGAATTTTCACAAGAGACTCCACAGTGTTGTGAACATCAAAGCTGCGATGTGGCCCATCCGCAGCCTCTTCTATCATTTCCCACAAATCGTAATAACGCAAGCTTACTAAAATTACCCATCGACCCACAACAGAGAAGTGATGACCAAAGTACTGCGTCTAAGAATAAATCGGAACCGAAAGTTGCTTACTGTTCGATAGGACCGAACAACACTCGTATACCTACGAAGATTTTTGATGCCATCAGCTGGACTTCTGCATCAATAGCGACACGAAAACTAATGATGGCCATCTTTAATCGCGAAACCTTAGCCACACATTCTATGACCGGGAAGCCGTCGCCTGCTTTTAAAGATCATAATAAACCACTTAAGAAAATGCTTAATCCATTAGCCATACAAGACATTATATTTGCTGTTACACGTAGGTGTCAAGTTTCGGAGAAGGAGGTTCGTAACGCCATCACCACCAAGTGCGCTGATGAAAACAAAATGTGGAAATTGGCTCTGGCCAAAAGCCAATCATTATGTGAACATGATAAAGAAAATGTCGGCTAAGATATAAATAAAATATTGAGAAGTCAAATCAGCAGAAGGACGCCCATTAATTTGGTTGCTTCAATGCAATCCACTGTTATACTCTAAGGGCCAGTTTTTCAGTGCCAGTTTAAACTTAGATTAAGTAAACTGAGTTTAAATTAAACAGCTGGCTGACATTTGATTGGCTGATCTTAGTTTAAACCAGCCAGATCGGGCGTTTAAACTGAGTTTAAACTACGGCCGTGCACTGAAAAACTGGCCCTAAGACATGACAACAATAAAAATGGTCACATTGCGAATTTAAATTACATTGGTTTATCAAAACGCAACGTTGGAAACGTTTATTATCTAAAGGATACAAACATACCTGACAACCAGGCCTGTGTTTCAGTAAAGTTATCACATACATTACATAAAATAAGTTTAAAACCCCTATATATTAGAATTAATCTTAATTTTACAAATTATACGTACATAACATTCACATAAAAAAAGTACGCTCTGATATGTACATATATATGTATGTTGAGCTCGTACGAAAAATATTAAAGCATAATGGAAGAGTATACCAAAAATGGGATAAATTAAACTATAAAATATTTCAAGTACATATATGTAACTAATTGCAATTATAATCAAATGGAGTTTGTTTACCATGAATAATTATACAATCACATATACCTGAGCTACATATATTGTTACATATCTAAATGTAAGTTATTTAAGCGTTTAATGAATTTAACAAATGTGAAATAACTGCGTTTTCAATAATAATGTGCATATATTTATTTATATAAATAAAAAATCAGTAGTTTTATAATGTGTCGTATTTGAGCACGAAAAGAAAAACCAACATGGGCGGTGAATTCTTGTTCTGTGAAGTGAAAACGCGTTTCAACTCTTCGGATAAAATTACGATTTGGTTTTAATAATTGTAAATCAAATTATTTGTCAAAAAGTTTTCAATCGGAAGTTTTTTTTATCACCCATATTATACATTTCGACACGAATAGAAATTTTCTCAGTTTGGTAACTTTGTCTTTGTTTCGATCAGTCTTCGAAATTTACGATCCTGCATTGACTGAAATAATTGGCAACCAAAAGCGATATTGAGCAGGGATTTCAAATGCGACCCAAGGAGGAAGTGTACGCGTTTTGGCAGTAGGTTGCAAATACTCTAAATGCACTTGGTTCACCATCAAAAGACTCAAGTACATGGAGAAAGGAAAGGTATTATTAATTAATGAAATGTAAAATACTTCGAAAGATTTATTGCAGGTGTGGATTGGCGGGAAGTGCTGTATTAAACGCAAGCTATCTGTCAACAAAATGAAAATGTTGAGAACCGGTTGAGGACACTGCCGTTTGCAGCGCATAAGCCCACTAAAGGAGAAGTTGTCGAATTGACAGATTATGCGCATAGTGTGTAGGATCAAGACGGCGCACAAACTTCCGAAATGGACATTTCTGCTTGGTCGGTGGATCCAAATGGTATGACTTCAACCTATAGAGCAAGCAAGCAGCCAGCATAGAGAAAGAAAGACAGAAAAGTAGAGCAATTCTTATGGAAGTTGCCATGAATAGTATGGAAGACGACATATTTGCGGCGCATGAACCCACTACATATCTACCACCTACTACCTACTACCTTTGTATGTGTATACATACCCAACAAGCAAAGGTTTATAAAACACTTAAAAAAAAAGCGTAATATTTTTTTAAACGTATGAATAATTTTTCAATAATATACATCGTCACCTGAAATTCAAAAAGACGTAACATCGTAAATGAAATGGAATGTCGTGACTAATATTTTAATTTTTTTTCATAAAATGATGTGGGGAGTTGTAATTCGATGAAGTCCATCATATAAATCAAGAAGTGAATTTTGAAATTTTTATTAGTTATGACAACATCAAGGCGCACGCCACAAATCGGAGGAGAAGCTCGGCCAAACACTAACATATGTGTAAGCGCCAATCTATTATTATTATTATGACTTTTTGCATTTCAATAATGTTTGTTACGTCCTTTTGCATTTCAGGTGGAGATATATTAATTTTAATAATTCATAACTAAAAAACTAATAAAACTAACGTATTTTGTCGTGGTTTTGTCGTAAACATGTACATTCTACTACTAAAATAATAAATTACATATATAAAATAATTAATATACATATATAAAATAAATGATATTACAGCTAAAGTTAAGTGATTTATAGATATTCCTTTTTTATCATTTGAAAAAATTAAAATAAACTTAATTTTAAAGACGCATATTTAACACTTAATATTGGAAGCTTACTTTAAGCTTAAGTTTTAAAAATTCTAGTTTAACAAATGTGCATCACAGATTTTGAAATTTTCACAAACAATTTTTTACAAGATCAAAATTAACCGTTTGTGCCAAATTTGGCGACGGGCCGCTTGGGAAAACACGTAATAATTTCCCACAACAAACACCATCAGCTGGATAATTTCCCAAAATATTACACAATCGCAACTGTCAAGAATCAAAAGCGAATAGAGCTGCAAAGGATAAACCCGGAGAACGGAACGGTAGGCAGCAGAGATTAAAAAAGATAAAGAGTGACAGCAGAGAGAAAATTTCGAGCAAATTCTTTTCCTTGCAGCGGCTACGGAAAATTGATAAAATATTGCAATTCAAGGCAAAAACAAAACAGGAAATTAATATTTTCCAACAGATAAGGTGTTTGGACGCCATTGTGGGTAGTGAATTAGTGTATTGAGAGGATTGATAGGAATCGTGATTTGGACTTGGAATCCAATTGCTCAGGTGAAGGGTTATTCTGATTTGATTTCATTGTGTTGTCGCAGCGGTGCTTGGAAAGCGTAAAAAATGGATATCTTGCGTAAAATGTTCAAAATGAATGAGGACGCCGAAAAACCTGACGGAGCTGGGCGTAAAGATGAGTAAGTAGTGCTGGTATCAAAAACAGATTCTTTTTAATATTGCAATTCGAAGTAGATAGATATTCATGAAGCTTGTGTGTTTGTTTCTCGTGAAAGAAGCAAAAAAATCGATCGATATATTGCAAATTATGTATATATTTGGGTAGATACTACTAATCGGAGGCTGCGCATATTGAAATTTATCCTTTGAGTGTTACCAGCATATTTATTTATTCGTTTCAACACCAATACTGATTGGACTCGGACTTCATTCACACGAATATGGGTTTGCTTGTCCGGCAAAACTCGGTATTGAAGTCTTGCTGAGCACTCTGCTGCGTTGCTCAAGACTTTATTATGAAGAGCTTTACGTTGCCATTAAAAGCAGTATTTAGTTAAAACACACTGAAGATATAAATTATTAAATCTAAACATATGTACGCAATCTCAGAAAATATAAATCATCATTTTTACTTAAACATTTAACCATTTAAACTTATTTTAATTTTTTTGTTGACTATATTCAAATTGCTTATGATTTCGCACAGTCTCTGATTAGGATAATACTTGCAACTCCCATGTAAAACGGGGTAGCTAGACTAAAATATGTACATATTAATAGGTACATAATTTTGCTTCAGCCCCATACGAAAACCGGTTTTTACCGGGCAATCTGTGCACCGTGCAAGGGCTTTTCAAGACTCAGAGAATACCCATATTATTAAATTATGAAAAATCTTATATTGACATACATATGTATGAGGCCATGAGGACAAGAGGAGCCTATCTACAAAAAAGACATTTTTTAGTGATATGGGAAATAAGGATCTATAAAAAATAAATGCAGGTTCTTACTAAAAGGTTCATTGCACCTACGTGATGTAAAAGTAAAAGATAACTAAAAGGGCGTGCCTCGGGCTATTACCGTTTCCATTCTAGTAATGCATTTTAAGGTGCACCTCAACTTTTTTTGAAATGTCTGGCTACTCTGGCTCTCAAGGCCTCATATGTACGTATGTGTATCTAAATTTGTTTTCTGTTTATTTAGAGGAACTGCAAAGGACGAATTTCGTAAACCGCAGTGGTTTGAAGAAGCTGAAACAGATGACGAACTCTTTGATGATAATCGCAAATTCGCTTTTCAAACCTTTACAAATCCTTTGGAGTTACAAAAGCACTTCGAGCGTCAAATGCAACAAATCTTGGAAGCAGTGAGTGAATTCGAAGGTAATTACTGAATATCAATTTTGAGTACATAAATCCAATGAAATTCATGATTTTTCAAAAAAAAAAAATTAGATGGCGATATTAAGATTGATAAAGACTTGAAGGAAGATTTTTTGAAACCTGGTTTTGAAAACATAGACATTTTGAAGGAATTTGAAAAGACGAAAGGTGAAATCATGGACACAGACTTGGATGGGGAGTAAGTAAATTTTCATAAGTAAAAAGATTTAGTGCTTCAATCGCTCAACATACAAATTCATCTTTCAGAATTTATGCCGATCAATTGCATTCGTTAATGCAACGCTTGTCCCCCAATGAGGATTTGCCGAATATCTTACCACGCAATGACAGCAAGGCTGTTCGCAACCCCTTAGGTAAAAAGAAATTAAGTGATGAGGAGAAAATTTTGGGTAAAATACATGGCACTCTGGATAGTGACGATGCTCCGAAGCAATCACGTATGCCACGTCCACGTCCGGACATGATGACACCAATGACTCCCATGATACCACGTAATCCTACGCCATTTGGCGGAGGGGTCTTCGAGGGCACGTATCAGGTATGCACAATAGTTTTGAATTTTTATCTAATGAGTGCTTCGAATGTTGTACATTTGTGAAGAATGGATGAGGAAAGGATATGAAGCAATTATGTTTAATTTTCACTTAAGTTTTTCATGTCTCGATGACATCATCACCGGTCTCTAAAATCAAAATAACGATATATTATTTTTTATCCTCGTTGGATGTGAATGAATAATGGATATACATACTTGGTATACCCCGAGTATGTTTTCTGAAAAGAAATATGCAAGCTGGCAATCAAAATTATCGCACAGAATTTGATCGTTTTATATTATTTATATCAGGGACAAAACAGTTATAAGTTGTATCGAAAAACGTTGTTCCATAACAGCTATAAGACCAGAAATATTTTTCATTTCGCCGATAAGAGTTATAACCCAATGTTTTTTACGTTGCTCGATAACTGTTATGCAGGAGAAATATGTTTTCCGTCGCCAATAAGAATTATTTCCCAACGTTTATTTTTTACATTGCTAGATAATAGTTATTTTCCAACGTTTATTTTTTACGTTGCTTGATAACAGTTATTACCCAACGTTTATTTTTAAGTTGTCTGATAACAGTTATTTCACTCCTTTTTATTTTCATCATCTTTATCTCCTTCTTTTCCGTTTTCGTCAATATTCCTATCTTACAACGTATATGGGACAATGTAAAAAATAAACGTTGGATAATAACTGTTATCAAACAACTTAAAAGATAAACGTTGGGCAATAACTGTTATCAAGCTACGTGAAAAATAAACTTCGGGCAATAACTGTTATTAAACAACGTAAAAATAAACCTTGGGTCATAACTCTTATCGGCGAAATAAAAAATATTTTTCATCTAATAACTGCTATGAACGTTGGTTTTCGTTAAATTTCAGAATCCAGGCAACATTTTCAATTTTTAAATTCGAGGTGTTAGTTATTTTTGGTCTCTGATTTTTATTACTAAGAATTGGAACTATCACTGAATCATCGTAGTCCGCGTTTCGTGCAAAACTACGAAAATGCGATCGGCGAATTGGAATTGTTGAACGGATGCATTAAAGAAATCGAATTTCTAAGTTAAAAATGCGCAATAATCGTTGAAAGGAATTCCTCGTTAATTTAATTCTTTTTGGAAGCGAGTACTGAATCGAACGAAATCTATGAGTTACAACCAAACTCGCCAACGTTCATCGCTGCTAGGAACGTCCAAAGACGAATAATTGTTAACCAGGTTTTTTGGTAAATAAAAGAGTCCCTTATAGTAGAAATAAGTGTTTTCTCTGTAACCATAGGCCAATTTACTTTATTGAGAGACCTTTATAATCCCCATTTTGTCCAACAGAAAGCCTCAAACTCAGCAATCGAATAGACTCGGAACTGGTGATTAGGACGGTCATTCATTCGACCAAGCCTATACAGTTTTTTTGTCACATACTATCAGGATTATGAAACGATTAAGAAATGAACGAAGCGAAATTTCACTAACAAAGCACGACCAAGGTTCATTCATTCTTATTTTTAATAATTTTTCATTTAATTGCTTGTATTATGAAGATGGTTGAATGAGGATGCTAGTGTGTGTTCATGGATGTGTTTTATAAAATCACCATGTAGTTATGCATATAAAAAATTGTATTCATATTGCTGTAGGGGCCGAAAATGTTCAGCCAGAGCGTCATGTCGAAGACCATACGTAAACCGGATGGTAGCTATGAGACTACGAAAATCATCAAGGATTCTCAAGGCAATACAACAAAAACTATTACACGTACCATTGATGGCAAAACTGAGACAATTACCACGCACGACAACGCAGCTGGGGCCGATACCAATAAGCAAAAGGAGGGCAACATCGCCAAAAGAGAAGAATATTCGAATCGCAATATTTTCGTAACAAAAGAAGGTTACGCCGTACCACGGAACCTCTGGTGACCAGTGGTGCTTATTGGCCGAATCCTTGTTGGCAACTTATTACACGTCTATATTCAAATTCAGATATACTATGTACTAGTAACTAGATCGTTAAGTGTTTGGTGTTTTAGATGAAATTCATTTGAGACTACAGATGGCAGATAGCATTGCAAGAGCAGCAGCGGCAGCAGCAAAAAAAAATGAGAACAACAACACAGATGACCGCAGCATCCACAACAACAATCGAAGCAGATACAGAAACAGTATGGTAAACGTACACAGATGAATTGATGATCTACAATTAACCATCATTTGATCTCAATCT